ACTCTCTCTCTCTCTCTGTCTCTCTCAAGCCTAGCCAGCATCAGGCCTCAGACAGCACTCGGTGTGGAGATTATGCCACAGACTGACAGATTTCCGAGTGGGTTCATCCTGACGATGCAGGTACTCGGAGACATCCGTCCCTTACACACGTGTCTGTCTTCATCATTGGCCGTTTGCTACCGAACTCTCGCTCTCTCTCTCTCTCTCTCTCTTTGTGTGTGTGTGCGTGTGTGTCTGCCAAAGTCATCAATCATTATTACTCAGAATGTATGGGAAATATCATGAAGTCCTAGACAGCACTCGGTGCATGACTTGCGCAACAGAACGACAAAAGCCATTTCCAGGTGGTTTTCACCCAGGCAATTTAGATCTATACTATATAGAAGTAAATCTACACTCTGCAGCTACTCGGAGCGATTCGCCTCTGACAAACGTGTGTGCCTTCATCACTGACCGTTTTCGTCGAAAACACAAAATCACCAAGTCACAATTCATCATTGCCAGCCTCATTACCACCAAGCCTCAGACAGCACTCACTGCTACCGTCTTCCCCCGAACATAACGCACCCTAAAACTGAATGTATACAAGCTATATTTCCGGCCAGATACAGCCACAATGAGGGTGCGTTGTGTTCGCGGGAAGACGGTAGGACTGTTCCACAGACTGACAAATGCACTTTCCGACTGGGCTCACAGTGAGGGTTTGTTGTGTTCGCGGGAAGACGTAGGACTTCCACAGACTGACAAATGCAATTTCCGACTGGGCTCATCCTGACAATGCAGGTACTCGACGACATCTGTCCCTTGCACGTGTCCGTCTTCCTCATTGGCCACGTGTCTTTCTGAGTCCCACGTGTCTGTCTTGATCCAAACTACAAAATTCAATAAACGTCCCCTCACAGCGCAGGATACTATATATGATTTGCTTTTATTATTATAATAAATAAAAAAATATCCATTACTTTAATGCCATCATGTTTAATTACATGAACACTTCATCGAGTGCGAACGATGTACCGACTTTAAGAAACTTCACGCAGAATCCCCGATGAGACCTCAGGAGAGTACATTTTTAAAGCTTGCGCAAAGCAAAAAACGACTTCGTCTGAAAAGCAATAATTATACAGTAGTCCTTAAAGTAATAATAATAATAATAATAATAATAATAATAATATAAATTATACAGTACTAGGCTACCAGCCGGGCCGGCGCCACCCATTAACCACTAGTATATTTTTAAAGCATGCGCATAGCAAACTCCGTCCTCGGCCATACGAAACCTATGTGCAAGGACTCGGTCGTCAAACAGCAAAAAAATTCACTCGTGGTTAATGGGTGGTGTTGTTTTCGGCGAATTTTTCACCGAATCTGTCATTTTTCCCGGAATTTTTGCTGTTCTCTTGCTTTTTGTTTTTAATGTGTGTGATATGTGTGTTTGAGGGTGTATCCTAGGCTACCAGCCGGACCTCCCAGGTCACCCTATTTTGCCGGACGGCCCGGCCGTGCAAGGACCAGGGAAGGTCCTTAAAAAAAAAAAACTATGTTATGCAGAAAAATAGAGTGAACAACTTTTGCCTCAGGGTTACATCGAAATTCTTTGCCAAATTTAAAATAAAAATTCAAGTTAAAAAATATTTTTACTTTCATTTTTATTTTAGTTTTTTTGGTCTGGCCGGGCAAGTGGCCCCGGGCCACTTTGGTAGCCTAGGGTATTTCTGTATTCAGTTTCAGCGTACTTGGACAAGTAAATGGAAAAGATGACAAAAACAAAGAATTCGGAAAACAACAAATTGACGAACTCAGAAAGGGCACTCCGAATAGGGATTTATAGTGTTTTTTGGTTCTTTTTTTTTCTTTTTTTTTCGCCTTCCTCGTTATTTTATGTTTTTATTATGATCCTGCATGGTTTATTCGCAAAATTTTCGACGATATTCCTCATACTGATGCGGCGAAAAAAAACCCTAATTTTGGGCCTTCCATTAACCGCGTGTCTACGAGTTTCACCGAACAACGAACGCAACCTGAAAGACGAATCGCCAGCGAGAAAACGATACAAGAACAAGGGGGAAACGTACAACACAAAAACAAAACAGTGTTAAAAAAAAAAAAAAAAAAAGTGTTAGTAAGGCGGACAAAAACTCTACCACCAGCGACAGGGGATGCAGAGAGAGTGGAAAAACGTCAAACTCAAAGCTTATAAAAACTATTACACTACTATTGTGGTTTCAATTACCGCAATGGCGATGTCGACTCATCAAAAAATTCCGGAGCTCCTGGAACTGAAAAAAAAAACGTAAACAGCCATGCAAGATCATAATACAAACATAAAAAAACGTAAACAAGCGATAAAAGCCAAGAGGCGGAAGAAAAGGGCAGAGCAGCACCAAAAAACCCTAAACCAAAGACAACCAGCGAAAGGTTTTCTCGAGTGTTCGTTTTAACCAACGTAAAAAACAAATAAAACAAAACAAACAAGACAAAAGAAAAATTATTTTTCGAGTGTTTGTTTAGTTTGTTCTAGTGTGCTCTTATACCCCCACTAATGAATCAAATCAATGAGGAAAAGAAGTCGCCCATCTGCCTTCTGCTGTTTCCGTGTGAACGACATTCACGCTTCGACGGCAGAGCTGTGGTCAACAAACCCCTAAACCAGAAACCGAGGGCAATGAGAACTAAAAAAAAAAAAAGGAGAACACCCTACCTACAAAACGTACAGCAGCAAAATCCCACCTGGCCATCCAGCAGCGAAAAATGCCACCAAGAGAGGAGACGCGTCCAACACGGCGGAGGCCACAGAGTGACCAAACCAGCGGGCAAAAAAAAAAAAAAAAAAAAAAAGACCGCGGAGAGACGATGGAGAGGAACTGTGCAGAGGACAGGTCTTGTCACACTCTAGTATGAACTTAAACCACCTCAAACCAGCAGCGAAAAATCCACCAAAAAAATAAAAAGGAAAACATGTCCACCAGTGACTGAAAAAAAAAAAAAGAACTGAAAATCGGCGACCAAACCCTAACCCATAACCCATAACCCAAGAGCAACAGGTTAACCCCAAACCCATAACCCATAACCCAAGAGTAACAGGTTAACCCCAAACCCTAACCCATAACCCAAGAGTAACAGGTTAACACCAAACCCTAACCCATAACCCAAGAGTAACAGGCTAACGCTGTTACTGGTGGACATGTCTTTTTTTCTTTCGTTACTGAGCGACCAAACCCTAACCCATAACCCACCAGCGAATAATTAAAAACAAAGTGAAAAAAGAGACAGAAGAAGCCGCCGAGCGAGCACACAATAAACGACGCGCATGGCAGCAGAGCGCATAAACCAGCGACACTGCAAAGACGGAAAGCAGAAAATGCGCGCGCATTATCGAAAACCAAGGGATTCAAATCCCCCCAAAACAAAATAGAGCAACAATTTGAAAGCATACCCAACTACGATACAAACATAAAGAGTTCTGACAGACGAAGCAATAAAAACACTAATTCCGATTTCCTGGAAAAACTCATCTCAGAGGAAATTTGAAATTTGAAGTGACATCTCCACCGAACATCTGGGAAGAGACAAATTGCCACTACCCCCATATTACTCAAAGCTGAAGGGACGAGAAGCCATAGCTACAGACGCGCCATAGCCAGAGACGCATCGAGCGGAGGATGTCGTTGTGGCCATAGCTACAGCCATAGCTCATCTTCCACTTTTCAGAAACAGAGACACTCACCAGAAAGCTGTAGTGCGGCTATGTCGAAATTCCAGATACCTCCCGCTCATCTCCCGCTCATCTCCCGCTCACGTCCCGCGGTTTCCCGCTCATTTTCCGCCCATTTCCCGCTCATTTTCCGCCCATTTTCCCGCTCATCTTCCGCTCATCTGCTATTACATCCAATCAGAGACATACCAGCAAGCTCACGTGCGGCTATATCTATATCAGGGTTACTTCCCGCGTATCTCCCGCGTATCTCCCGCGTATCTCCCGCTCATCTGCCACGTGAACCTCACAAAATGGGTGAGAGATATGTCTTGATTCATCAATCAACCTGCTTCTGTCATTCATTCCAATCATGACGGAAACAAGCCTATCATTTCATAACGCAGAGACCCCGGATAGGCCTTGAAATCCAGGACGCCTTGCATTCTGTCATTCATTCCAATCATGAGAGAAAACAAGCCTAGGACCTTTCATACCGCAGAGGCCCCGGAGAGGCGCCCTGAAATGCAGGAGGACGCCTACCTCTCCGCCGGGTGAGGGACTCCACATTGCATTGTGAGAAGCAGAAAAAGAATGCCAGAAAGAAGACTACACATTGGACGTGCGACGGAAAAAAAAAAAAAAATGCCAAACAAAGAAAGAACGAAGTGAGCCTTCATCGCACTCTTCGCAAAAACCTCGTCGCTTTGAAATCTTGACGTCCACAGTCTTTGACGGCACCTTCGCTGATTTTTGCTAACAGAGAAAGCGACAAAGAAAGCTGGCACGACATGGAAACGCGAAGGCAAAGACTATCATGTGCCCACAGATAGCAACAGCTCACTTGATCTTCTTCTTGGGCCTCAGCTGATTGCTATGGCCACATTTCTTCTTCCGACAGTTCACTGCTCGCGGATGCAGCCTAGCATAGCACTTGCGGCAGATCATCTTCTCCTGGTTGTACTTCCTCGCCAGAGCCATCAGCGAAGGTTCGATGATGCCTCCACGAAGTCTCAGCACGAGATGTAGGGTAGACTCCTTCTGGATATTGTAATCTGCGAGGGTCCGGCCATCTTCCAGCTGCTTTCCCGCGAAGATGAGTCTCTGCTGATCTGGAGGAATACCTTCCTTGTCCTGAATCTTCGCCTTCACATTGTCGATGGTATCGCTACTCTCGACTTCCAAAGTTATGGTCTTCCCTGTCAGGGTCTTCACAAAGATCTGCATGATTACCCTACCCTTAGGATGGCGATGGCGCGATGCCGGTCTGGTGATGCAGTCTCCGCTAGAACCGTGAAAGGATAACAGCGGAGATGCTGGAATGCTGGAAGGATATCCGATATCAGTTTGCCAATGCCACCCTCTCCCTCCACGTGCATGAAGGCCAGGGAAGAGCACGCCCACCACCCCCCACCCTCCACGCACCCCTTCTACCAGCGAAGTACGTTCCGCCCACAGCCAGTCGTATTTTCATGCTCGAAAAGCACCCGCACTACTCACAACACTCGAAAAATGAAGGGAATCGTCAGCGGAGCAGCGCAGTTGCCACTGGCCCCGCAGTCCCAGTGGGTATGCCGTGGTCAGAGCCTGGGCACCAGTAAGACCGGCGTCGGGTCCCACATTCACGGCGTAGTTTTTTTTTTTCCTCCTCTCAATTTCACCTCACACTACGTACCTACCCCTACCAGGTTGTTGTAGCGGTTGGATTTCTAGACATGTGAGGGGTGCCTTTTGCACTTGGACATGCGGTATGTATTCCTATGGAACTTCCCTTCCAACCTACTCCCACGGTCCCACATGCGGTATATATTCCTATGGAACTTCCCTTCCAACCTACTCCCACGGTCCCACCTTATCCACTAAGGACCATCACCTTACAGTCTATGACCTGACCGGACAGTGGTCGCCGATGCCGGACTAAGTAGAGCGCTACTTACTCTATTCAGTCCTGATCGAAGCATAGACGTATGAGCCTTGCCACAGGAGTACTTTCGGGCACTAGGACTAACCATATCTCTACAGGTCCCATAGCCATATCTCTTCAGGTCCCATAGGTACGTTATTTCGATATTCTATTGTGTGGTGATGATAGATAGTTGAGAATCCTCCGTTCCCTCGTGTCCCTGGAGTCCGTTCCGGCCCCGCGGTAACGTGTCGTATCTCCTGACACCTCCGACGTTCCGTGCTAAGGAACTGCTATGCCAGCCTCAACCTTGTGCTACGTACTAGGAGGATAGCCAACCCTTAGTCACGAGTTATGGACTGAGTCTATATATTGTGTAGTGGTAGCATGTGAATCGTTGTTCTATTGTGTGATGGTGGAGAGTTGGAGATCCTCCGTTCTCTTGTATATCCCTGGAACCCGTTCCGGCCCCGCGGTAAGGTGCAGTATCTCTTGACACCTTCGACATCCCGTACTAAGGAACTGCTATGCCAACCTCAACCCTTGACTGCGTACTAGGAGGAAGAGCAACCCCAAGTTGTGATTTGGTGGTGAACACAGGACCTCATGCGAATCGTACGTGAACCGTTGTTCTATTGTATGATGGTAGAGAGTTGGGGATCCTTCGTTCCCTCGTATATCCCTGGAGCCCGTTTCTGGCCCCACGGTAAGGTGCAGTATCTTATAGCACCCCCGACATCCCGTACCAAAGAATTGTTATGTCAGCCTTAACCCTAAGCTACGTACTAAGAGGATAACCAACCCTGAGAATTTATTGACCGTGTGTTGTATGGTTGTCTGAGAGCTAACAATCCTTTGTTACCTCGTATGTCCCTGGAGCCCGTTCCGGCCTTGCGGTAAGGTGCAGTATCTCTTGACACGCCCGACATTCCGTACTAAGGAACTGTTGTGCCAGCCTCAACCCTTAATTATGTACTAAGGGGATAACCAGCCCTTAGTCATGATCTGGTATCGAACACATGACCTCATGTGAACCGTGCAAATGACCTAACCTATAGACATATACTGTGAAACAGTCTGTGACTATGCTCTGCTGGGCTCGAGTAAACCAGACCATACAAATCACCCAGCAGTCTCGTGACCACCCCATAGACCAAGAACATCATGACACCCCTCTCTCGCCCAGTCCCAACATACAATAGCCATGGGCTACCCCTGGGTGGTGCGCAGGCATTGTCTGTAATAGCTTACCTGCGTCATCTCAAGGGGGTGTATGTCCAGGCGTGCATCACTGTAACGCCCTGCCGGTGTCCATGCGCAAGGTTGCAAGGTTTTAAACCCACAACCTTATACCACAATGCGCATTTTAAACCAGTGCTCTAACCACTGAGCTACATCAACCTACCACTACTCCTAATTGTAGGCATACTGGGAACCCCGTAGCAGCCAGAACCGTGTTGGGGCTGCTCCCGATCTGCAGGTGTGAGATACCGACACGACGTAGTTGTGGATTGCTATAATATGTGACAAAAAAAAAAAAAAAAAAAAAAGTGTGACGGATGGAGGCGGGAATAAAAATCCCTTACGATCCAATGGCTTAGCTCGGTGGGTAAGGCATGCAAGTGATATTCAAGAGGTCTTGGGTTCAATCCCATTGGCCTCATGTGCCTTTCCAGGCAAGCTTAGCGCCACCCACCTAGGGATAGGTCATTGTTCCCCCGAGTGGCATTGAGCAGAAACTACTGATGTTCCTAGGGGGAGGGCACCGGAGTGGAGGCACAACGACTGACCCATAAAAGAAGCTCGGTCCTGATGATACCGGTTGACCCCTAGCCGTTATCATCTGCCTGTTGTAGCATGCAGGTATCGCACCTGCTGGTGGGTGCAACTCCCGCATGTTCCCTCGTTGGAGGCTTGAACCTGGATGTGTCTGCTACGGGGTTTCCCGTAATACTATAATGACAATTAAAAAAGGTATGAAAGGTCGTCTTGTCCAAATTCGACAGGTAATTGAATAGATGGTTTTATGATATTATAACATATTAATTTTAGGTTCATTTTTATGTTGTCTTTGAATTTTTTGATTAATTATAAGTCAAAATATGGTTAAAATTCTAAGTGCAACCATATCCGCCTTTCTTCTCTCCTTTATGACTTTTCTACTTCTTACTTTCTTTTCTTTAGCGTCCCTGAGTTGCTTCTTTAACTATATGCGGAGTAATAAGGACCTCTTTCGACACCACTTGAAAATACTTGAGTTTCAAGAAAGCATCATTCCACCCCTCCCTTATTACATCAATTTGGATGTCTGGAATGCTTTCACGTTCTGCATCTCAAGGTATGCCCTTGAAACTCAAATGCGGCCCAAAAACAATGAAATCTCAAAGGAGTCTCAGGAGGTCACTTGAGGCTCAAGGGTTTGACACTTCGAAATGGGGAAGAAACGTAACTTTTTTTTCCCCACCAATCATCATTGTTCCTGATGCAATGTTGTCAGCACTTCAGTTTCAAGGGCAGTCGTCTCAAGGGTTTCATCAAGGGGTTATAGAAAAAAAAAACGAGGTACGGCAAATTGATCAACCTTCGTGAGTACGGGTGTCTTTGGAACTAAAGTATTTTTAAGTAGTGTCGAACGACGCCCTAAGTTGGTTATTAGGATAGCCCCCCCCCCCCCCCCCCATTGAGCCGTACGTGAGCTCTTTCAACTCACGACAAACGTCGGGCCACCGAGTGATCTCGAAACTACTACTAGATCAACGAGTATCTAGAAAAGCATAAAACTGTCGGATCGGGATTATGGTTGACGGTTCCACACCCGTTCCAGCGGTATGATTGGACCCGATCCGCTCACGAGGAGCAGGCCGCTCACTTTGCGATATATGTCACAAAGGTAACTATCGACCAAACTCTACGGTTCTGGTCTACTATTCGGGAAGACATTAAGCACATGGTCAATAACTGTCTAATCTGTGCTGCCGATCGGGCATCGATCTGTTGACCAAACAAGATAGTTCCAACAGAAATGAAATGCCATTTTCAGCGTATCAGCATGAATATAACATATATTGATGTGCTACCTGACCGTAACGGTTGCGAAAATTTGATTTAACTGGTTTTTATTTGAAATATGTAGAAGCCTATCTGTGTAAAACGCGTAAGGCCTCGGAGATAGCTAGCTACATCGACCGATTCCTCAATACCCATCTAGATACATAAAAAATTTTGACCGACAATGAGTCTGGCTTTAAGGCTGAAGTAGAGGAACTGTTAACACGTAGAGGCGTCACCCTCCAACACACTGCCCCGTATGTCTCCCAATCCAACGTACTTGCAGAAAATGCAAACCGAATAATGAAGACCACATTACGGCAGAACCTAGCGGCTATTGACACGAGTCCCTGATCCGAGATAGTGTACCACTGGGCCACCCCTCATGAGTCCACTGGGTTCACCCCTTTTTTGCTATGGACCAACATTATCCCCTGCGTCATCAATCAGGGTGCCTCGAAAAGTGACGAACCCCGGGGACGAGACACACGGTTGTCCCTCAAGGCTAAGGCCAAACAGTAAGTTGACCTAATGAAAAGGGTCGTCCCTAGATTGACCTGTAAAAGACAAAGGATGACAGAACTGACCCATGGTAGGCAAGCCCGTAGTTACGAGGTTCGGAATAGGAATGCGGGCCCTTAACTCTAGTATAAGTTAGGGGATCTCGTGCAATTATGGTAATGTGCACACGACCAGAAACTCGCTCCCAAGTTTTTTACCTTCTTTTGCGTAGTGGAACTTAGCCCTAACGGGGTCAATACTGTGCGCATTACTCTTGAGACGGACGCCAATCATAGCTCTTTTCCCATCGTCCGCCACATCTCCTACCGCCGTCCTCTTCTCGCTCCCGACTTTCCTGCTTCTTCTTCCTCAACTTTCTCCAGCAAAGACGAAAATCCTGCCATCCCTCTTTCTTCTGATATTTCTTGCTCGCCGCCATCGCCATGAGTTTCGTACTTGAGTCAGGAATCTTTGCTCGACTTCTCCAACTACCTTGCAGTTTTGCCAAGTGTCTCATCAACGACTCAACCCTCATTTATTGCGATTTGCGCAACTGTTCAACTGACAAGCTGGGTAAGCAATGGTGGAAGTGACGACTTCAACGGATCGTGGTTCGACAGTGATCCTGGTGGAAGCGTAAGCGTTTCTGCGTTATTCTCGGTCGGGTCAAAGTGATGTAATGGATGTAATGGTAATTGTCGTTTTCAGTGGCGATCTTTGCAGCATCGGCACCCAGTGACGTAGTGAAGTGGTGGAAAGCCTCTACGAGTAGGGGTGTGAGATAGTGACGGATTGGCGACAACGATTAGCCAGCCCAAGTGAACAATCGGTGGGCACAGAGTGCATCGATACCTTCTCTCTGCCATCCAATGTCTCGGATCCTCCAGTGCCACTTTCTGGCTCTTCGTCCCTTTCATCCTCCTCGTCGATGAATCGCTTCTCTACCTTCCCTCTTACCTCAGACCTTCCAACTCTCTGACCATCTTCCACAGATCCTATACTCT